CCAGATTACTCTGCCTTATTGTTATTAATGTATTCATTAGAAAGAATAATTTTTCACAGACACATCATGCACTGAGTCGGCACTGTGAATGCTTTATTTATCAGTTCTCAGTATTTAAGAACGGAGAAACTGTCTTTATTTGAATAAAATATAACCATTACAAGGGCAGAGGAATAGAATCTTCTTGATCATTGGATGCATGGCATAGAAATGCGCGATTCGAAATTATGATTTATATGAATAAATCTGTAAGGAATTGAATTTGAGATTTCGGAGTTCCTGTGAAATCACAAAATCATATTTGAATTTCTGAAGACATAATTGATTTATCACTTGGCATTTTCCACTACGGGAGATTACAATACCTGGTAACTAAGATACCTAATATCACTTTTTAGTTACCATGGCAACAGAAATACTTTTGATATCGATGTCAATATTTATATCGTAGTTCACATGGATAGAGAACTAATAACAAGTTAAAAGAAAAATGTAATTCATGACGTCAGAGAAATGAAATACCAAATGTCAGACAGTTACCATATTCAATGAATTCATTTCGCAACTTACATGTAAATTAGAGCTCTTTCAATTTCCTTATTTGAACATGTTGAATTCCAGGGAATAACAAAACAACTTGAATTTATTTCGTTTGTGTTTGAGAGTCTATATACCTATATATCTATAAACTGACTGGTTTTATAACTGTAACATGAGACGAAATGTGAACAAATAAATACTGATTTCTATGACATAACATAATTTATCTCATGTTGAAACATGGTACTTGAATGAAATTAATCCCGGTTTCGAACTCCATTTCTCAGAAACAAATATAAGATCAATTTATCACCTGTGCTCAATAGTGGGTTGCTTATATGCCTATAGTTGGGATTCTGTTTTACAGAAACAAATATAACATAATTTTTAACACCCACGGTTGTTTATAAATATTTAAACGAGACCATTCGCGCCATACCCTGTTTTGTCACCGGCGGAACTAATCCAAATTATTGATAGGTTTAACACTGTTGAAAATGTTACAGGAGCAATTTGGAATCTGGATAAAAAGATTAACCTCATGCAGATTATATAGTATCAAGGTATAGACATTTTTACATTTAGATAGTTTGGTTTTGCCCTGTTGACATTTTGGAACTCCGCAATAAGTTGAACATATTACAATTTTAAACGAAATTAAAATATCAAAACACTGAAGTACATGTTTTAGAATTTCTTTTGTGGTGAAGGGAATTCAAATTTAATTACAAATACTTCATCCATATGTTTAATTGTAATTGTAACACAACGCAAGAAAAATGATACCAGATTAAGTTTCATCGCGTGTTATCAATATTATATATTGTGGAATGAGTTACATTATTCGACGAAAGTTTCGTAGTAAATATAACAAAAGTCTAGGAGTTATTTAAACTGGCCAATTGCATCGTTTGCACATTAAATGTTATACATACACGTTTAATGCAGTGGCGATAAATATCACATAAATAGACCATTTACAATTTTGTAAAATATAATTTATAGCAAATTACACGTTGACTATGGCATCGACTTTAAAATAAATAAGTTTTTCAATGTTTATGCACAGCCTTTTAAATTATGCAGAGAGTTCGACAAAAATGCGTTGTTGATTTTGTTATCTCAATTTGTGTTTTAATACGTTATAGATCTATTATACAGATATATCTTGTTACAGGTATCACGAAGTAAAGACCGTCTAAATGTGAACGAAATTCAAAATGCATTTAGGGAGTTGCGCGTGCTAACGTACATTCATATATATTTCACCTAGATAACTGTTAATATTTGCATATTGGTATACACATTTTATTAAATTTTATTGTAAACTAAAATTCTATTCGATTGATGCAATAATTATTTACTTAAATGCGCATCTATATGTACGAGCTCATTTACATAGTGTGCAATAAACGCATGAAATATCGGCCACACATTACTGACAATGCACACACGTGTCACGTGATAAAATATCATGCTTTGGTAATGATCCGTGCTGTTCAACAACAGAGCGTGACTAGAAAAAGAACCATTAACCTTAAACAGACCCAAAAAGCGATATTAGAGGGTATTGTGAGGCATTTACATGACTCATTCGAGGACGAGAATGATTCATAAATCGTGTGTTATCAATATTATATATATTATGGAGCGAGTTGCATTGTTCGACCTAATAAATTGCATATAACTACGATCATATTCTAATATTTCATACTTATCCCTTTGTACACTTAGCATATTTAACAAAGATTTGACTTTTTAGAAGAACAGTTATTAAGCTACGTTTTATAAGCACATCGTCCATTACCAGTTCCTATGATGAGTGAGTTTAGATCTATCGTACCCAAGTGTTACTTCCCCTTCAACTGTAAGCAATGCTCAATAAGTACTTCTCGAAATGTAGTACAAATAAAAAAACTTAAGGTAAAGCCTACTCATGATTTCAAATGCTAAGAACTTAATTATTTGTGAATAAATTGTACTTCCGGAGTATAAGGATATTGACTTTGGAGGGTCACCAGCTCAATTATCGAGAAACATTTTGGTTGTATTTTAGCGGATAGTGGCCA